CTGCAAATTATCTCTGAGCACTCTCACCCTGGCAAAGAAATCTATCCCAACAGCTTGAAACACCATGTTTCTCTGTGAAAATTATGTTTAGAACGATGTGCAGTCTCCATTTTATTTTTTACATCATTGGAATATTGTTGTAGAACCCGATCCTTCTTTAAACTGAACCACAACTTTCATGTTTGCTGTGTTTCTTGGTTGTCATGATGCTGTTTGAGCTTGAATATTTAGCACACCTTTGTTGTAGAACCCGACCCTTCTTTAAACTGAACCACAACTTTCATGTTTGCTGTGTTTCTTGGTTGTCATGATGCTGTTTGAGCTTGAATATTTAGCACACCTTTGGGGCCAGTACCAGAATCACTCCTGCTACATGTGAGGTTGGACTCTGTTTACCAATTAGTTGACTTTTAAAGGAAGTTCCTTTCTCTGGGACAGTGATGGCATACTTACTTTGAAAAAGTGACTTTAATCAGATTACTGATTACTCCTTAAAAAAGTAGCTTACTTACTTCTTGATTTGGAAAGTAACTGAGTTACATTAAAAGTAACTTTTTTAGTTACTTTCAGCAGCTGCTAACACCTGTAAAAATTACATTGACCTTTGCCAATACTTAATTGCAATTATTTTATAATAGTAAAATCAACAATGTGTCTCCACTTATAAGGTTGAACTGAAGAGTTTTTTTAATGGTTACATCAGTTCAAAATTTTTTTAGTAATTTGTGTGTTTTTGTGTGTGTCCCACTATTGTCTGGAAAACTCTTAAGAAGGATTTTAAAGCATCCACCCCCACCACCAGCCTCCAGGTTTGGTGTCAGAGAGCAGCACACAGTGCTTCTCCTGTGGCTCCACAATTCAGATGGCTGCTGCGCAGATTTGTGGCACTTATCTTAATATTATAAATTATAATGGCGTTTAAGTTGCACATTTTTACGAACTCGTTCATTTGTGGCTGTTTTTACAATTACTGCGCTGTTCATATTAGTATCCATGTTTACAATTTTCTGGAGCGCAAAGCGAAGCTCGACGTCATTCAAAGGAAATATATTAACTTGACATTAACAAAGACACAGGGGATGGATCATCCAGGAATAAATGGACCTTGAAGGCCTGACTAAAACTAACTGAATGACAGACACATTCTGGGGTTTATTATGTGTCTCTGCTTATTTCCAAGCCCAAAGGAGCAACTTCACGTTCAAAAATGAGCCCAAAAGCGCAACCCGCGACTTAACAAAAAACAAGCCTAAAGCCACTTATAATAATCGGTCTTGGCGACAGAATCTCAATAGTTCCTGTTTTTCTGAGAACAAAATGCGCATCTCCCTCCATTGTTTACATTTCTAATGCTGTTGGCACTGTCACATAGAAACGGCGATCACTTGACAAGACACGCAGAATAAATACAATTAAATTCCAAAAGAAAATTGTAAGGCAAAGTGATTTTGATAAGTAACTGTAGTCTGACTACTGGATTTGAAACATGTTAGTAAACATTTGTTACTGAAAAAAGTGGTCCAACATCACTGCTCTGGGAATATGTGAACATTTTCTATAACCATATTTTCCTTTCCTTCCAATCAACAAATAGTTTGTACTTTGAGTTCCTGATAAAATACAGTGAAAAAAACAAAATGACAAAATGTGAACAACTTCAAGATGCACAAATTCATGTGCTGCCTTTGCAGGGTGTGCATAAAACATAACTGTCTGGACATGTGTGATGTGTTTTAAAGGGCTAGAAATACGGATGGCATGAAACTGAATAAAATCTTATCAAGTTAAACCATCAAGCCAGAGTGTTATGTGTCATCATTAAGCAGCAGGTTAGTGATTAACCTGAAGACTACAGTGTCTCCTTATTGCTACTGTGTAGTGCTCTATATCACTACTGTTTGATCAGCATCTATTTTAGAGTGTTTGTGGGAGCTAGAGTCGTGTGATGGAGGAGGCAGGGGTGGTGGCGGATCCTTCCCAAAATAGACCTGAGAGAGAAATGACAAGACAGGTGGGGGCAATGTTACCCAGTGGCCTTGAAATAACAGAGAGCTGCTATAAACCAACAGATGAGCAACCCTGAGCAGGCCTCCCCTTCAAGATGGTAAACTCTTGTTCCACACAGCCAACCAGTCATTCCAAGTTTGACCTCAGCTCAGCTTCCACCACAAAGCCAGAGTTAAAGAAAAGAATAGAAACATTGTTTTTTTTTTTATCACACAAAAAGGAAATTCAGCAACATATATAAAGTATCAGATAAATAGTTCTTAGTATTAAAAACACTGCAAAACATTTGAAGGTGGTTTAACTTGAAAATGAAAGTCCACCTGCTGCCTTGAAAATGCAATTTAAAAGAAACTTGTATTGGTTTTAACTCTGAAATTAAAGTTCATGAAGTTGATTTAACAAGTGACAAGTTATTTAAACATTGTTTTTAAGTTTATTAATCTTGAATTGTGAGTTTTAACTTGTAAGTCCCCAGGGTACACTCCCACACCCCCTGTCACTTCTTCTTTCTCTCTCTCTTTCCTCAGTCTGCCTTTTGCTCTCTCCTCACATTTGTAACCCATTAACCCTGGTCTATTGTTCCAGCATTAACTCTCACAGTTTTTAATTACACCTCCTTCATTTACTCCTGGTTAGGGATGCTCCGATCTGGTTTTTTGCTGCCAATACCGATACCAATCACCCACGAGGCCGATCTTTGCCAATTGCCTGGAATGGCTGTTAATTTTTTGCTTTAGGTATAAATGATACTAAGTGATCTGGCAAAATAAAAAAAAATATCTAGAAATAAATTCACCAGATTTAAACATAAAAATCCTAAATACTTTCAGGCACAATACAGCAGCTGTTCAGTCAAAAGGACAACTGAAAAACTTGCAATCAGCAAAATAATACTTAACAGTAAGGCTCTCTGTACTCTAAATTATTAGTCAAATAAACTTGCCTAATAAAGTCAAGTAACAAAGGAGACATTCATTCAAAGTCAAATGCAGGTTGCATAAAAATCCTAACTTACTGAATCAAAACTTTGTGATAGCATGGCTAGCTGATTAATGCTCGCTCTGATTAGCTTTTTCTGACCAAGTAATTTTGCAGAACTCAAGGAGGAGGCAGAGGAGATGACTTATTTTCAGATATTATTTGTCTTATTAGGACAGCGAAAGTTTTAATACATATCTAAAAGTGTTTTGTTACATGTTGCAGCATTAAGCAGATAATTCAGTTTGAGAGTTCACTGCGGGGACAGGTTGAGCGATGCTACATCTGTGAAATATTACCATCAGCAGCAAATAGCGGCGGTCCAAGAATGAGAGCAGAACCAGTATCTTACACCGTTAGCTCGAAGACTTAAATTATTTTTCAAGTTATTTGTTTGGCTTCCTGACCGTGATGCTAATCCAGGTGACTGTGGGTAGTTGTGTGCTGTTTCACGTGCTATATGGTCTTTCCGGATGTCTTTTTTATCCTACATTGAGCCTCGATGTAACTGAACTCCGTCAAGTGCTTGTTTTGTAAGTGCAATATTAGATTTGTTGTGTTGATGCATTTTGACGTGGTAATGTATCAGATCGTTAGCCATTAGTGGACAAGATTGTTTCCTCTCTGTTTATGACCAAAAACACACAATGGCCACATAACTTGAAACTGACTATATTGATAATAAATTTAAATGTATTGAAAATGAACCAAAAAAAAGTCAGACATTAGTTTTCAAATGTGGTTCAACAGCATCATAAAAAACAAACGAATGAAACTGATTTGAAAAGTAATAATGGGTGTATGTGAGCTGTTCTGAGTCATGGTGCACTGCAGATAGAGCAGTTATGGACATGTCAACCATAACTGCAGCGTCTTAAGTTGCTGCAACTTTCAAACAAGTCACCATCTCAGACTTCAATAGGATCCAAATCAAGAGCTGAAACAACAAATGAAATCCAAATTTGGGAAAAGGTAGTTGTACAAACACATGCATACACAGACACAAAAATAAACAGTGTCTGTTGAGAACTGTCTCCTGTTCTAAAAATAAAGACTGTCACTCAGTTTGATGATTTTCTGGGAGCAGAGTGTAGTCACACTCTGCTTTGTCAGCACTTGTCTGTGCAGTCTGACCCTCACTCTGTTTATCTTTGGCCTCCACCACCAACTTAAAACACTCTGAAGGATCATTATTATTTGTTATTTTAAACTAGAGTTCATCCAGCACTCTTCACTGGCAGCATTTGCTCTCAAAGCATAAAAGTATTTAGTATTGCATTTATTATCACCTCACTCTGCATATCTCAGTAACCCAAATTGCTAATAAGACACTTAGTCAGTTTTCTGTGATAGAACTTCTATAAGTGTCTGGTCACACCTGAACCATATCTTCTTCATTGGTCTTCACAATGTTAAACAATATTCACCAATGAGCAAATTGGTAGGAAAAGTGGTTATCCACACATTCACATTAATACTGCAGTTAACTACTGATGGCAGAAGGAAATGGCAGGTGACTTTCACTAGAATTTAATAGATAGAGTAAACCAACAACAAATATTCACAAGTTATTTTTTCTGACTGGCTTATGTGAATTTGTTTTGCACCATATGTTTTGTTTGATTTGGGGCAAAACTATAAGTGTAAGATTATTTTTAAGTGTGACTCAAAGAATACAATCTGTGTCTTGTACTTAAGAATTTGAAGAGGTGTAACTGCTCTTTTGTATTTCTGAAAAAATACAGAAATGTGTCTGAAATAAATCTATTGTATGCTATGTTTGTTTAATTCCAACTGCTTCATAGTAATTAATTAGGTTCTAAAACAACATCTCAAGCTCTGATCATCTGTTTACTCCATTACTTGGACATGTAGAGGAGCACATGTAGACCTACCAAAACATGCAGTAAAATGGTTGGCAAGGAGAGCATAGATGCCCATGGTAACTCTGGAGGAGATCCATAGATTTACAACTTAGGTGCACAATGCCTAACAATAATACCAATGTGTTCCAGGTGTAACTATGGGTGGGATGGCCCACTGTGTGACAGGTGCCTCCCATACCCGGGATGTGTTCACGGGACCTGTACTGAGCCTTGGCAGTGCACTTGTGAGAAGAACTGGGGTGGGCTGCTCTGTAATAAAGGTCAGATTTCTCTAACCTTTTGTTTAAACAAATTTATGTGTCATATTCAAAAATAGATTATATGTCCATGTCCCAGAAGTGCAACAGCACAAAGCTTGAGTCTAATCTAAAGAGTTTATTACTGATTTTGGTGTCCAGACCTGAACTACTGTGGGACCAATCAGCCCTGTAAGAATGGAGGAACCTGTATGAACACAGAGCCAGATGAATACAACTGTGCTTGTCTTGATGGCTACTCCGGCAAAAACTGTGAGATTGGTGAGTATGTTATTAATATCCAAATTATATAAAAATATGACTGTTTTGATGTAACAGAATTCCTGAAAATTGGAAAAAATCTGAAGTAAGATGTACAACTGTCTCTCTAGCGGAGCACGCTTGCCTCTCTAACCCCTGTGCCAACGGAGGGACTTGTCATGAAGTCCCTTCAGGCTTTGAGTGTCACTGTCCTGCTGGCTGGTCTGGACCAACCTGTGCTGAAGGTGAAATGCAAAAAATATGCTTGGTTCCCTTTTAGTTCAGAATAAAGGAGCGGACATAAAGAGCTGATTAACAGGGGCTTTTCATTGGTGGCAGTCTGCGTAGTCTAGAGCAGTCTGAAAGGAAAAACGCTTTCTAGAATCAAAACAATGTCCTTTATGCAAATTACATATTCCCTTTAAACCAACCAATTAGGAGAACTAAAATGATTGCTTATAGTTATTAAAAGTAATTGATTCAAATGCCCTAATCTGTAGAAAAATTAGAGGCAACATCAAGTTTCCAAAATTGTCCATATCTAAAAACGGCTGACTGTTTGAAGCAGAAATTAGAGCAGAGCCAGAATAAAAACTGTATTAATTTTTTATTGCAGTCAGTAGGTGACCATGGGCAGTCAAGCTTTGCCACTTGTTAGATTTGAGGGGTGAGGAGTGCAGGAATATTTAACTCAATATTTTTGATTGAAGTTTAATTCTGATGAACTGGATGTATGAGATATCTAAACATTTAATGGCATAATGACAGACAGAGACAGAAAGCCCTAAAAGATTCAACGGCTCCAATGTATTTTTCTAGTGTTCCCAGTGCAACCTAGAAAAAAAACAATTAGAGCTCAGAGGCAGGTCTTGTGATAATATCTGTATTGTATATCTATATTTCAGATACAGATGAATGTGCCTCCACCCCCTGTGCTCATGGAGGGACTTGCATTGACATGGAGAACGACTTCGAGTGCCTCTGCCCTGTGCAATGGACAGGAAAGACCTGCCAGATTGGTGTGTTGTCCCTGTTGTCTTTGTCTCTGACCTGCTTTTCCAAGTGAAACACCACTGCTTTCAAAAAGAGCTTGGCCATTTTAGCATTTAATTGCTAACTTGTACATGTGAGGTGACTTTTTGCAGTGATAATGCTGGTGTGTAAGAAACGTCTCCATATTTTGTCTCATTTAATATTATTACAAATACAAAATTTGGTCTGTTTGTATTCAGCGCCTTTGATTGAACACTTGGTAGGACTTGCTACTTCTGCAGGTAGTAGCAAGTCTACTACTATTGCAGTGTCAGGTCTTCTGCAGCTTCTAACAGTTTTCCTTCCAGGATTCTCCTTCACTGAGCTTCAACCATTTTCAACCTGAGAGCCACTTTTTTCTTTGCTGGAAAAAAAAACTCCCCACAGCACAATATTGCCACCTCTTTGTTTCACTGTGGATAGTTAATCTAGAACGTTGATTTTCCTCTACAGATGAGGTTTTGCATGTTGACCAAAAAGTTCAGCCAGTCGGTGTAGGAGGACATAAATGTCTCAGTTGGTCCATCCTCTCTTTATGTTCAGGTTGAACAGAGAAATGTTCAACACGTGGGACTTTTTCTGTTCAATTCAGCTTCATGTAGCGCCAATTCACAGCAAATGTCTTCTCACACCATTTTGCAAAAACAAAAATAGTTGATTCAATCCAATCATAGAGGCAGATTCCAAGTAAAGTACACACAGTTCAGGCAGCTTCTTTTTATTATTCAAATTGGTCAGAGTTTTTATCAAAAGAAACTGAAAGCTTCTCTGAGTCAATGATGAGCACCAATCATCATTGACGATTACAGTCCTCCTGTTTCTGGAGGAGTATGTCTCTACATAACAGTAATAGTCAGTTGCACACAATTTGGTTAAAACAAATTTGGCCATTTTACAGTTTGTAAACAGCTTTAAGTCAGCTCAGGTTACTTTCCCACACAAGGTTTGGGTTTATCAAAATGGGATCAAAACAAGTAAAACTGCTGCTGTCTCTACACTGTTGCTTGCATTGGCAGCAGCCCCTCCTATTAACTACTCATGCTTTAGAACATAACTCTGCTCTAACTTCCTTCCTGACATGTCTGCTGTGTTCCTTTGTCTACATGATGCTGGTTCTTCTCTTATGATCTCTAGCAAACCTCTGAGGTCAGAAACAGAACAATTGGAGCTAAACTAGCATTCAGTTACACACAGTCAGACTCACCCTAGGTCACTGCTGAAGGTTGCAGTAGCTTTCATGTAGGGGTATCAAAGTTTAGGGTTATGAATACAAAGACACACCAAACTTTGTGTTGGTCTCTCACAATGAATAAAAAACAGAATGCACATGGCTTTAAAGTGAAAAATGTGGAACATTTTGAAGCAGTATGAAAACTTTTACAAGGTTATATGTCTTTGTATCTGTGTGAGTGTATGTTGTCTACACCCATCCCCAGCAGTGGTAGTATCTGCAACCCAAGCCAGGTGACTTGAGTAAAGCTAAAAATAACCACCTCGTGGCAGCTGCTGGCCTTGAGAGCAAATATCATCCTGTAAGGGGTATTGGGGGGAGGGGCAGAGCGCTCCAGACAGGACATAACAGAAGAGTAAATGCTCTACGGTCTGCCCCTCCAGCTTCTCCCAGGAAACTTCAACAAGCAGCAGTAGCAGCAGTTTGCTCTTGGTGCAGAAAGGACCCTGTTGGACACAGAGAACTGGTTTGGAGCAAAGGGTTCTGGGTGTTTCATTTAAGAAGGCCAACAGGTGCCATTCACCTCCTGGGAGTACTATTAATGCGCTGTGCTGGACTTAGTGGATGAAGTGGTGAAACTGACCACTTGGAATGTCACAGGTTGGCCTTTCGGGAATGCAACCCCGGGGGAGCAGTAGAGGAAATAAGCCACTGTTCAACATCTGCTTCAAATGTTTCTGGTAATCTTACATTTGGATCAAAATCTCATACAAAAAAAAAACCCAACAGTTTTAACATCTTCTCAGAACAACACATCATGGAGCTCTTTGACCTCATTTACTATTTACAGTCAAAGATCTGGAGGGCAATCCTATTTGGTTTAATTTGTAATGTATTACTAAATTTGTTTAAATAACATGCAATGCCATCAGATGAGTGTAACACAGCTGTGCTTGGTGATGGGGCTTCTTATTCCCTGTCTTTGTGCCTCTCGTCTCCACTTTGCAGATGTTAACGAGTGTGGGGGAAAGCCTTGCCTCAATGCTTACTCTTGCAAAAATATGGTTGGTGGATATCACTGTGCCTGCTTTCCTGGATGGGTGGGCCACAACTGTCACATAAGTCAGTATGATTTCAGAAAAGTGTTGGTCTTCAGTCTATTTCCCACCTGGCTGCATCATTTTGAGCTGTAATCCAGAGCTTTTTCTGACCAACCTCTGTTCCACTGCCAGCATGTTATATGTTCTTTCTCAAATGTCCCCAATATCTGTCCATGTTGTTGGTTGGTTTCATGCAAGCTTAAAATGCATGAATAAAAGTAGTACTTCCATTTGCACCAATGGTTTCATTGTGATTTTTTTTTATATGGGAAAGAAATCATAATTTAAAAACATCTGCCAATGGAACCAATACTTCCTCATCAATATTAAGAAATTATTGAAACAAGTTCATGTATCTGCTGAAAAGGTAGATGATGTAAGATAGTCTTCTCTTATTTCTAGTGTACTAGATTTTTGCACTAGAAACTGAATCAAAATTGCTTGGTAAGATTTTGTGTTTTTAATTTTTAAAAAGTGTATGCTTTTCTGAAGATATGAGTACAAGAACAATAGACCATCACATTGTAGTGTCAGGTCTTCTGTAGCTATTAATATTTTCCTAAATGTCCCTCAATGCACTCTTTTTCCAGTCATGAAGAAGCTTCTTAATTTGGTTGGCATGAAGTTTGGCTCTGATTGAGGTTTGAGACATTCCATGTTAGTCTTTTCAATCCTTTCCAATATCATATAACTGTCCCGTTGTGATGAATACGGTGCATTAGTAACGCCGACAGTGAAACAGCCCCTCAGCATGATGCTACCTCCACCATGCTTAACAGCAGGTACTATATTCTTTGAAATGAAAAGCCTCCCCTTGATTTACCACAGAGACATACAGCAGTTCAGTCTTTGTCTGGTCTGACCATCATAGGTTACTTGGCTTGACTATGTGGCCAGCTGGAAAGAATCCCATCCTGAACAGGACTCTGTTACTGCTGGTCACAGTTGGTCTTTGAACATCCTACCTCATTTCCTGTCATCAGAGGTCAAAGTTTGGGTCAGATGATTGGAACTTTGAAACAGTTTGACGTCCCAGCCTGACAGTGATCAAAAAGACACAAAAACTGGTTCTTGTAAATCATGCCATATATAAATCCAATAAACATTCATGTACTAGTAGAATTTCTGTGTTAATGAGCAGGAATGTGTCTATAGTTTTAGCAATATTTAGAAAATCCACTGTAAATGCAATCTTTTGCACCAATTCATAGCTTTTATGTTCCTTGAACTCTTTCATCAACCATTCCACATGATGAAAGAGTGATTCAAATACGTCATTAAACAATGAGTGGATATAAACTTTTGATCTAGCTGATGCAAGTGCAATAGAAGCTGGTCAGTGGAGGTTGCTGGAATTTCTTTCTCTGTCTTTAGTCTCATGCCTTTCTGCTGCATTTTCCATGCTTCACCTGGACTCCAGGGTCTCTGACTAAATCTAAATTTCTAAAAACTCTGTTCAGTCATCCATGAGAGATTTTTCTAATTAGTGTAATTTTTTAGTTCCACGTCTTTCTTCCTCTGAAACCGTATCTCTTCTGGGCATTGATCACCCTGCTCTGAGGGCCCCACTCCTCCCAGCCCCCAACAAGCACTCTTTCGCATGTCGCTCCATCAGTGTGCTTCTGTCTTCATATTCATTGAATTTTATTTCATACATTTGGTTTTTCCTCAGACATGAACAGTTGCCATGGACAGTGTCAGAATGGAGGTACTTGTAAGGTAAGGCCCACTTCTCATTCTCTTCAAACATGCTGCTAGTTTTAATTTTAAAAAAATTATGCTTTTTTGAAGATATGAGTACAAGAACAATAGACAATCACATTGTAGTGTCAGGTCTTCTGTAGCTTCTAACAGTTTCTAAGGGCTTCAGCTGCTGTCTAATCCATGCTTCCTAACCACTTTACCAGATGTCATTGTATGATAAAACTGTCAACACAACTACATTATTATGCATTGTTCTATGAATTAGTGTTACTGATAAATATTTGTTGACTCTGAGCTGAATTTAGAATGTCTTTGAAGTTGAGTTGGACTTTGAGCTTATTGCTGCTGGATGACTGTGAATTAAGAATTAGCTGTTGTAGTTTTACAGTTAGATAAAATCTTATGTTAAGGAGATGATCTGGTGCTGCTTTAGTGATGTGGCCTTGTCTCTCTTGCGGGATTAAATGAGAATTTAACCCTGAGTTACTTTTGACAGCTATTGAATCTATTGATTGACTTGCTGAGAACCACACTTGTTGTGTTCATACTAGGACACAGCCAGAGGCTACCAGTGTGTTTGCCTGCCAGGTTTTGTGGGTCGGCACTGTGAGGCTCAGAGGAACCATTGCTCTCGCAGTCCTTGCAGAAATGGTGGCCGCTGTCGTGCGCATCTGGATGGTTTTGTGTGTGACTGCCCACTAGGGTTCACTGGAACCACCTGTGAGGTGAGGAAAGTATTGTAAGCATAGTGACAATTAATGAGAATGAGACAAGATGATATTTTGATATTTTAAAGAAAATGGCAAATCTCAGTTTTAGTTCTTCAATAAAGCTATCTATTACCTAAAAATTGATGCAATGAGACTACCTGACAAAAGAGCTCATTATTGCCCTATGAAATATGATGTAAAGCAACTATTTTGTTTCTTATGTTGAATAACGTTGACAGTGTGGAGAGTTTGAATGTGTCTCAGTTATTGATTTCTTCTCTGAAGGTGCAAAATGATCCTTGTAATCCAAATCCTTGCCAAAGCAAGGCTCAGTGCAACAGCCTAGCTGGTGACTTCTACTGCAGCTGCCCTAATGATTATGAGGGCAAAACTTGTTCTGAACTCAAGGACCACTGCAAGACCAACCAGTGTGAAGGTAGCAAGGCTCCTACTATTGTTTTTATCATTATTTCTTTCAAAACAGCAGCAATGCTTTGACTTGCTGATTTTGACCATTTTTTTTGTCTGTACCCCAAAGTGATTGACAGCTGCACTGTTGCCATTGCAACCAATGACAGTGAACAACAAGTGTGGCGCATTTCGTCAAATGTGTGTGGGCCACACGGCCATTGCATTAGCCTGCCTGCCGGGAACTTCAGCTGCTCCTGCGATCTGGGATTCACTGGTACCTACTGCCATGAGAGTGAGTCATTATTAGCCTGTCACTCATACATGGTTTATATTTATCACCAGTTACCATCACTAGGAACCACAAGCCTTATGGTAATTCATGCTCAAGTTTCACTAATCATCACCATCAATATGGTGTATAGTGGACATAAAAAGTCCAGAGGAAAACCTGAGCTAGATGTCACAGCGTTACCATTCTCGTTCTATTTGCAAGTTGTTTGTTACTGTTGACATGTGCCGGTTTTTATAGCTCAGCATCTTTTTTTAACTGCTCTTTTTTTATTTTGTGTTTGTTGCTACTTCTGGGCCAGGACTCCCTTGAAAAAGGGCTTTAATCTCAATGGGTCTTTATTCTGGTAAAATAAAGGTGAAACAATTTTTTTTGTAAAGCATTTCAGTTCAGTGGACATCTTAAAATGCACAATGGTCAAATATTTAAAAAAATGTTTGCTAACAACTGAACCAGGAAGTGGATTTTTTCCCCCATTGTTTTACAAAGAAAGGAGAGCATACCATTTGTTAATCTATTTATTTTTAGCAACTTCCTTTTCTGAAATACTAACTCTTTTTCCAGATATCAATGACTGTGTATCGTGCCCATGTAAAAATGGAGGCACCTGCATAGATGGGATCAGCTCCTTTGAGTGTGTCTGTCCAGGTGGCTGGGAGGGTGACCTCTGTGATGTTGGTGAGTGTGTGACTGGGCAGCACAAATTTAAACTGGCAATGTCGAAAAGTTCCTGTGGGAATCTGAAGAAAAATGTTTTTAAGTTACAGCCTTCTTCTACAGAACCACCATAACTGACCCCCCTATGCATACATATGATTTAGCTCCAAAAGTGATGCTATTTGGTAAATTATCATTGTACATTATTTTATTGTTTTTTATTATATCTCTCCAAAACCATAAGAAGTGTCATTATATTTGTCAAGGCTCAATAAATGTTAACTTTGTTACATCAGTTTTACTTTAGAGCATTAACACATGTTCACAAGTCATTTTTCTGAAGTCGGCAGTCGTGAATAAACATTACTCGTCTGACAATAACAACATTAATATAGCTTAGAAGGGAAAATCTGTAATGTTTATCCTAAAGCCTAATTTAACACTTGAATGTTGACAATTATTTTTTAACTTTTCAATGTGCAGAAAAACAATTTAAAGTTTCAGTCTCTTGGTTTCACTCCTAATCACTTAAGATACAGATTGTGAATAAAATTTGAGTCTCAGACCATGAGTATTAGTCAAAAATGAAGTCTTTGTTTTTCCTATTTAAGTTTGTCTCTAACCACTGTTTCTGGTTTGTTTACAATATTTCTTTTGTTGTTGTTTTATCTTGTTTGGACTCATATATAGCACATAAATTAAGCATGCATGTTTTCAGATGATACTGCTATTTGCATTGTGAAGGTACTGGCGCAACCCAATCCTTTGCCGATTCTGCATGTCATATCTGTACATTCTGATTTAGTTTCTTGTACTTTCATTTTGTTACTGTAAAACTGTTTTGTTACTTAAACCATAGTGAATTGATTTAACCAATTATGAAGATGACTGACGATAAAAATGCTCAAATCTCATGTATAATTAGTTAAAATTGTATATTACTTTTCAAAAACTTTATTTAAAACTTCATTGCTCTTTATTTTGGTTTGGTGATTGCAATTATTTTATGGTTTGCACTCATTATGACAGATTATGATCCAAGAACAAACTAAATAACTCATGCTAGTTGAAGCTATTCATTGGAGAGCTAACTATGATCGTGTCTCCTTACTTTAGACATGAAACTGTTGCCTGATCTGTGCAAAAAATGTCTGCCAATATGGGGCAAGCTTTTGTACCAAAAAACATTGATCACAAAATAACCAAATCTTCAAAGGCGTAAAATGATAAAGATGTGAAAGACTTACCAGCAAAATTAGTCATTTTTCTGGTTTGATGTGATCATCTATCCATCTTTTCTAATCATTTTATTTAAGTTCCTCTCTCCATAACCCAAACTAACCTTTCATTTCCAGATGTGAATGAGTGCAGCAGCAACCCCTGTCAGAACGGAGGCCAGTGTGTGGATCTATTTCATGATTTCTACTGCAACTGTGTAGACAACTGGAAAGGGAAAAACTGTCACTTACGTGAGTTTGACTACATTCATTTATGCACACATTGAAAACTATTTCTGTGATTATCACAAACTGTCAGATTTTCCTCCCACTTGCATATCTGTCCTATTAGTACTACTATTAATAGTCAGCAAAAAAATTGCAATGTTTTCCTTCACATTCCTTGCATGTCAGGTCTTATATTTCTGAACTACTTAATCTACTTGATCTTTGGGGTGTGGAAGGATTCCATAACTCCTTACATGTCAGTGAACATGATCCTCTTACTACTCTGTTTTTTTCATATATGGAGTGGAAGTAGGTACTTATCAACAATAGCAAAAAGACAAATATCAGCAGTGTTTGTGTGGTGCTTCCACTCTCCAGGTGAGAGCCAATGTGACTCCAACACATGTAGGAACGGCGGGACTTGTTATGACCGTGGAGACTCGTTCCTGTGCCGCTGCCCGACAGGGTGGACAGGAAACACCTGCAACACAGGTCAGTCATTGTTTCCATGCAACTAAGTTAATCATGATGACTGCATCAGCTGCTGTTACTAGACAAAATTAAATCAGTGGATGATCAAATGTTGTTTTCCCTTAGCTAAGAACAGCACTTGTGACTCGGATCCATGTGAGAATGGAGGAACATGTGTTGGAGGAGAACCGTTCACCTGCATCTGCAAGGATGGGTGGGAAGGGCCCACTTGTGAAAAAAGTATGCCTTTTTTTCTTAGACAAAGAGAGAAGTTATTGTGTCTTAAATATAAGCCACTATATAAAAGGATGCCTAGCCTTATTTTTACTTAGCCAGTAAAGAGAATTAACTGTTCCCCATGCTGAGTTCTTGATGTATGAGGTTAAAGAAGAGTCAATGGGTTGAATTCATGAATTCCATTTATTAATACCAAAATTCTGCTAGTCCATTCTGACATGCTTCCCTTAAGAGTTAACATGCAAAATGGCAACAAGCAACAGATAGTAACTTCTTTTGTTAGCCTCTGTCCAAAGAGTCTGGTGTTATTCTCAACACCAGACTAACTGAATCCTGTTTTAAGTCTGTTTGATTACCAAACATTTTTTATTTTCTGAATGCCACAATAAGGACAGAGAATATCTTGTGCAATCCAAAAATTTGTGTAAGAGAAGTCTTGCACAAATGATCTCATTCATTCTGAGCCATCTGATCTTTTATTGTTCTTCTGTTTTGTAGATATCGATGACTGCAACCCACACCCTTGGTAAGACAAACTGATTTAGATTACATGTTTATGTCTGAGTTACCCCTGTTATTCATCCATAATTTAGTGTTGTAATATTTATCTTCTTTTAGCCTATGTTCACCCAGCAGGTAAATGCGACCCTGCATGTTTTAGGTGCTTTCCGGCTTCAGCACATCTGATTTCAACTGATGGCTGATTAACAAGGTTTTACTGAACATCAATAATCTGAAAGGTATATTAAAGCACGGGAGACATTTAAAACATGCAGGGCGAGTGTGCCTTGAAGAGCAGTGTTGGAAAACACTGCAATAGTGCACCAAACTTCAATAGAACTGTGTAACTATAGAACTACATTCTTTCTTACTAAAAAGTTAATATTTAGGATCCATATTTAACTGCAGCAACATTGCTGCTATTCTTATGGAGGTCCACAAAAAGCAATCACAATCTGGCCCTCTGACCCCCACCTTCCCTCACCCTGGCTCTTCGAGGGTGAGTTAAACTTTAGGAAGAGAGGAGGTGGAAAAGGAAGAGAGGCAGAACAGGGTGATACCAGAACTTGTAGAAAAGTGTGAGAATTGGACCTGTTCTTAGGTCCAATTCTCACTACACATAGTGACCCTCACTATGTGGTCTGTATGGATTTACATATGAAATCTGGACATTGATTTGGCTTTAGCTTGAAGGTCTCATCAAAATCAAAGAAAATAGCACCACGACTCCATAATAAAGACACATTTTCATCTTTTTTCACACTAATAATGAATAACAGATCAAAATGTTGCCTCTTGGTTTCGACCAATATTCTGCACAAGAAGCTGATTTTAAAAACGCTGATATTTTATTGATGAAACCTAAAAGCCTTGGAATTATTTAAGAAAACAGATGGAAAAAGATAATATAAATTTTCTGAATTATGTTTTGCTCTTCTCTCCTTTACAGCTACAATGATGGCATCTGTGTTGATGGTGTGAATTGGTTCCGCTGTGAGTGTGCGTCAGGATTTGCTGGACCAGATTGCCGCATCAGTGAGTGCTTGGGAACCGAAGGGAGCTGGAGGCTGGGGTCAGGTGGGCTGGGGCATTAGGAAGGGGGTCAGAGATGAAGGGCCTTGGTAGGGGAGCCTGAGCCGATTGTTTCTGGGTGACAGATTTGGAAGCCTTTTAGGAAAACGATGTTAACCTTTCCCCTCTGTGCTGAGTCGAGGTCAGAGCTTGTGTTGGTTGGGGACTCCCACGACGTCTCTGACTAGAAAGCTTTTCAGAGAAGATTTTACAGAAGCAGAGTGGTATCAATTTTGATATTTTGAGACCAAACTGTGATCAAATTGAAAGAAAATAATCTCCTTAAAGGTTTTCAAATGAATCTTAAAGTACACCAAGATTCAGGTTTTTCCAGCCTTGTATTTCACCTTCTACAAATATAGATTTTGACTTGTTTTACTTGATCAAAATGCTACTAGTTCTTCTAAGTTTAAAATTCAATTCTAATCTTGAGCTTCTGTCTTTAAAAACAACATTGACTCCATATTTCTGTGAATGTTCTGCATACTTGCTTCCATAGATATAAATGAGTGTCAGTCGTCTCCCTGTGCTGAAGGCTCTACATGCATAGATGAGATCAGTGCCTACCGTTGTGTCTGCCCTCCTGGACAAGCTGGACCTCAGTGTCAGCAGTGTAAGTTAAATACATCTAAATCGTTACTGTATTAATTTAAAATCAAGGCTAAAAACTAGCGATGAGATATTGCAGTGTCTGTGATTAATGAATTACATTTTTATGAAGAAGTTCAATCCCAAGCAACATTCTCGATGAATTATGAATTGCTGCTGAATTATTAAATAAATAAGCATATGAGCTTAACATTATGTACTTTATGTCTTTATCATGTTCGTCATATTTTTCAACCATCAGATTGGTACAATGTTATTCTTGTCATTCAGATTTCCAGAGTTTTAAGAACTCCTGATCATTCATAAAACATCTACAAGAATATGGACTCTGGTCACTGACATTAGCATTAGCTGCTACATGTTTAGCATTGAGATGCTATTTTATGCTTGAATAGCTTCACTGATGAGCTAACTCTTTTTGCACGACTTATACATCACAATAGTCTTTCCCAGCGTCCCATCAAATCAGTTCAGAAGCAGCAACAAAACCCCAGTGGGCCTACAAATACAAAAGTTTTGGTTGTGGTACCAATGTAAAAAAAAAGGCAAGTAAGTGTATTAAAATATTTAACATATATTGTACAATATTTTTCAGACTATAAGTAGCTACATTTTTCCAACACTTTGGAAAAGTGATTTTCCAATGCTTTGAATGCGGCTTTACTGTGGATTTTTCTTCAACCACCACGAAGCTCTTTAGCAGGAAGAGAATCACTGAAAGTCAATATTGGAAATCAAAGAAGAGAGTGGTGATTTTCATTTAGAACAAGTACATGCAAGCAGCAGGCATGACGGGGAAACTCATACCCCCTCTTCATGGAAACAACACGAAGAAGTTCATATGATGCTGCTTTTAAGTCTATTGATCTGGCAGTATGGATCGATAGCCACTGCCCTTACGTTCAGCGTGAATGAATCTATGGTTCAGCATTGGAGACGCAGGGCTGCATCCTTAATTGTTTATGAAGCTTTTTTATATTCCCAAGCTCTAAAAGAAAGTTATTGTGAAATTACAATATAGATTGATTATTTTAAAGAAGTTCATATTTGAGAATCATTTATAGTGAGTTGCATCTTAATAAAGCTGCTTTTTATCTTTTCAGTCACAGGACTTGGAAAGTCATGCCGCCACGCTGGCCTGCAGTATCCTCACAGCAGTCACTGGGAGGAGGACTGTAACACCTGTCAGTGTATCAATGGCGAAGTTCACTGTTCCAAGGTTTCACTGATGAACCAAAGACTTTTTCCAGATATACAGGCTGAGAGCAATTACTTTAAATATTTTAGGCATGTACTAAATCCTTCTAACTGTCCACTTCCAGGTGAAGTGCGGCCGTCGCCCCTGCATCCTTCCAAATGCTGGTTTGCCTTCAGTCACCAGCAATCAGCCCTGTCCTGGAGGCCTTGAGTGTGAGAAGCATCCGCTCCTCGCATGCCTGTCTCCACCATGTCATCAGTGGGGGGTGTGCTCAACACCTGACCTTCCCACTCCTGAGCATACCCAGTGTGAGCCCCATAGTGGCTACCTAGACAACAGCTGTGCTCACATCACTCTCATCTTTAACGGGGACAAACTGCCACAGGTACTCATACGTAAAGGTGTTAGATGTTTTGGAAAGCATTAATCACAGAAACACCCAGTAAAAAAGGATTGATAAAATAATCTATATTGAGACAAAATTAATGCTGAAAATATGAATGACTCCAAGATACTCATCAAAACAAATAAATTAACTGAATCATTTTCAAGATTTTTCCCTTCTTCAGACACCAGCACTGCAATAACAGAGATCCGTAGAGTTTCCCTTCCCTACTATAAGTTCACCTGCAGATTAAAAGCTCAGAATAAAACTCGTTCTATCCCGGTACCACCGTCTAGTACTCCTACCTGTACTCATAAAAGTCCATAACTCTTCAACATGCCACTGTTTGCTCTCAGATAGTGTCCAGATCAGAGATGATACCCTGTTGGAAATTCTTCTTATATTGATTGATTTAGTGACTTCAGCCATGTTCTCTTTTTGTGAATTTGGAACGAGGTGTGTGTAATTTCATAGGTTAGAAGCAGACTGCTCTCTGTGCTTGGTTAAGCCGTCAAGCGGTGGGGAACCCAACTTTTTATTTTAATTAAGCTTTTACTGCATTCGTTCTTAGACCATCATTAAAGTAAGCAGCATAACTTCTAACTTTTTGGATTTTATCATCTCTGATGTGTGATTAATTGGAGTGGAGCTTGGAGCTGCAGTGCATTTATTTTGCTGCGCACTGCACTTGTTAGTCTGATGGACGTCTGATCTTTGATTTCTGTCCTTCTTCTATGCCATAAGCTACTTACTCCTCTATTTAAACTATAGCAACTCACAACTTGATCATGTATTCTCTTTTAGTTTTTTTTGTGTATTTATTGACAGTATATAAAATGCACCACAGAAGCCCAACTCACCATCAGGCTAATAATTTTGGCTCGACTGACCCGAATTTCCTCATCTGGAGCCACTGTAACAATGTGACAATGTTATTACTAATCTACCTACTTTGTGTGCGTGTGTGTGTGGCAGGGAACTGCTGTAGAGAACATCTGCTCTGAGCTCAGATACCTCCCTGTGACTCAGATGCTGGCTGTGGACCGAACACTGATCATCCTCTGTGATTTGTCCTACTATACAAGAAATGCTGTGGAGGTTGCCATGGTAATTACTTCTCATACTTACCCTAACACTTATATTTTCACTATTCTGCCTAATATGAGATGTTTGTTAAAATGCTTCATATGTAAGCTAAATAATGACTGCCACAAAAGACATATGAATTTTACATTTTAAACTTGAGATGCACCATACAGAATCAAGTGAGCAAATTGGCTAGTTTGTGTTTTAAATTCCATCCTACTGATGCTGATGTATCTTAAAAAAATCAACATTAATATAAGATTAGTCTTCAAATTAATTTTTTCCAGCCTTTCTACTCCAGTGGTGGCATTTTTTTTTCACTTGTGTTGTGGCAGCAGAAGCAGCAGTACACAATCTGTGTATGAGAGCAGTTACAGTGAAACAGGACTTGGTTCTGAGCAATTAGCACAGGTAACACTGCTGGCTAAATGTGGATTCTGAAATTAATTAAGGATTAAATAAATGTACAATGCCACTAAATAATTTCTAGAAAAATGATAGCAAACAAGAACATCCATCCATTTTGGAGCTTAACACACTTAAAGAGGAGATTAGCTCTGAAGGAAGGCAGCTTTGAGAAGCTGATGTAGGAAAGGGAGTGGTGAGCCTGATCCACTGCAATGTTTTACAAAAAACACAACAGATACATAAATATTCATGGTTGATGTAGGCTCCTGTTGCACCAGAATGACAGCAATTCAAGGCACTTTTAATAAGTAACTACAAGTCGGAGTTTATGTCACATCCCTGTGCAGTAGAGAGGTGGGAATGAACTGCTAATTTCCTGAAGAGAAATAAAAAATGCTGTTTTTTTACCCGATCAAACAAAGAGCACAGCCACTCTTTCTCGATTGCTTGGATCAATTCAACTACACAACACTAAGCTAATCCTCCTTGTTCTCCGTAGCAGCTTTACCCACAGCAGCTTATTAAGTAATTAACACCAGCTATGCTCAGCAGGGAGGCCCAAAACCTGCCAAAATGATGACCATTTTAAAGTTAGCTTGTGTATACACAAGCCAACTTTGTGCAACGGGTTGTAATTATGTTTACACACCGTTGTTTTGTTCCAGCAGAAAAATATTCCTGGACTGGGGCTTATGTTTTTTGGGGGGTTTTCTTTGTGAAAGCTACAGAAATTAAACGTAGATGCTGATCTTCCATAAATAGTTAACTTTTTTTCAATGTGATCAACTAAGTTATTCTGCATTATAATTTGAACATGATTTAATTTGAATTGAGTTGGTTTTTATATAATTAAATGTGATGAAGTTACAAACCACTAATTAAGCCCCATTTATTTATTGGTTGGGACAATAAACAGGGATATTCCTAAGAACAATTTTGGAGGTGTGGGCAAAATTACAATGAAATGCAATGTAAAATGTGCAGAAACTTATCAGCGCAAAGTATACTGAATAATTGGCAATTATTGTGTTTAAATTTCATGGCTAATAGACACATTTGTGGTAATATTAATTATTACCACAATGTTCCTTATTGTTCTTTTAATGTATTCAAACTGCAGGGCCAAAAATGACAAATGGAAATTTTAATGTTTAGATATGAGTCTGATTCAGTGTCACTGATCTAATCTCTGCTACAAAACTTTGACAATTTTACATTTTTTAAGTCTCTAAATTAAAAGTTCAATGAGTAACTCCAGTTAATAGAATTCTTAATAAACATTGATTTTATCCAGTAGGTAGAAATAATTAATATCTGGTAAGTATCATAACTTGAACTTCACGCTCAAAGCACCAGAGTTTCAATAAAGAAATACTGACTGTAAAGGCTGAACATTGAAGATGGTAAGAAATAAAAACATGCTTTCTTTTCTTCTATCTACCATCAGCTCCTCTGCTCTCAGCACCCATAATTTGAAATGCTCAGCCCCTCGCTCCCATTTAAAGCTTATGCTAATGAGACTTTAGGAGGACTAAATATAATTGAAATATTGTTGACCTTCGACAAAAAAAGCTTAAGTCTGTCATAGCAAAACTAGAACCAAGTACGGAGAAGCAACATTCAGTTTCTAGACACTACAAATCTGGAACAAACTTCTGAAAAATTGTTTAGCAACTGAAACACTGAGTTCCTATAAATCTAGACTAAAATCCTGTCTGCTTAGAGTTGCTTTGACCAATAATAAATTAAACACTAACCAACATTTTGATGCATAATGACAGCACTTGGCAAAATGTAATGTTTCAATTGATGACTTTTTTGTCAACAAAAATGTGATATAATGTGCTTTAAGATGTAAAGCTCTTTGAATTGCATTGTTGCTAAAATATGCTATACAAATAAACTTGATTGAAAGCAATGTAGCCAGTTTTGTTGGTTTTGATTTACAAGAAATAATGAGGCGGTTTATTGTGATTCAGCCCAAGTAATGTACAAACTGCAGTTACACTTTTATTGTTAATGTGTCTCATTCTATTGTCTCAGCAGTGAAAGTAAATAAAATGCATTACATCCCTTTTGCTTAAAAGTGGACATATCATGCTTGTGAATCATTCCTTTTCACATGTAAATCACACTCACTATATGGTCTATTTAAGGCAGAACTTCTTTGGTCTGAATTCCTGGTTATTGCATCTCCACAGACCCTCTTTTGCCTCTGCTCTAAGGCTCGTTTTAGATGGGGAGAATGAAGATGACGAGCCACACATTCTATAGAATGCGTCACCATCGTGCTTTTACAGTATTCACACCCTGACCATCCATACCAACTACCTACAATAGCCCCTTTTGCACTGCCTGGGCCAGGCTTCAAAGCTGGGCCCAGTGTTTTTGCATTAGCACCTCTAACCCAGTCCTACCACACTTTCTGGAATCCCAAGGTTTGGAGTCAAATGTTGATTGGTGCACTGGCTGCACGGGGGTGGGACAGAGACAAATTATCTTCCACCTCTCTCAGTCAGAGGATCTGGACTTCTCAATGTCTGTCATTGTGACAAAAAAATTGTGTCAGTCGCATGTAAGTTTTTAAACTATAATAATTTTATTTTCTTTTGTTAAAAATAATACTCTACGAGCTAAATGGAGGATTCACATCATCTCATCACATATCAAATAAATCAGTTTCTTTGATTTGACTTTTTATCGATATATGTTTGAGTACAATGAACATTGTTCTTTCATTCTATGAACTACTGACATCTTTCCAAACTTCCAAGAAAAATGTTGTATTTATTTGCAGAAAATGAGAAATGGTCAAAATGATGAAAAGATGCAGTGCTTTCAGACCTAACATAATGCAAAGAAAACAAGTCCATATTGATTTAAAGAAAACAACACTAATATTTTAACTTAGGAAGAGTTCAGAAATCAAACTGATGGTTATTCATCAAATGACCAATGACCACTGACCATTGGTAATTTATGCAATCCAATGACTGCATAAAAATAGTAAAATTCAATAGTTACATCCAAGTTATTAAAAACTGTTTCATGTCTTTCTATATGTCTCCTTCTCTGCAGTCTTTTGAAATGGATGGACAATTGAAGGACAGTGACTGTGGCTATATCCAGAACGCAGCAGCTGCCATTACTAGTGCATTGTCCAAATACCACAACAGTACCATCCTTCAAGCGGTAGTGGAGGCTAGGGTGGAGATGCAGGCTGAATGTCGAGCTGAAGGTGAGTCCAACTTTAATGGCATATAAATTTTTGTTTCTTCATTCCGCTCTTTATCAATGGCAGCAACTGGGTTATGGAAGAGTATTCTGTATAAGCCACAAGTCTTGGGTGTCATAGAAATCCAAAATAAAATGATTCTTGGTGGAAGATTAATGATGATGTGATATTTTTGGATTATTGAAAATAGGAAAAAACATGGAAAACAAAAAAAAATGTGAATCCAACACTGTGATATGTACCAAACCATTAATAGAAACACTTACATGTTTGTAATTAGAAGTTTAATGTGTGAATAGCTGCTTCATTGACTTATTGACAATTCAACAATAATTTCACTCTAGGTGCAACTCGACTGACTTCACTAACAAAGCTAGTGAAGTCAGTAGTGAAGATGACAAAAATTTAAAAAGTCTGAGGGAAATGAATGAATGTAAGGGATTATTTCAGAAAGCCAGGTTTTTTGATTGTGGGAGCAGCACAGACTGGTTATATGTTTCAGAGGTCTGATTAACAGCTTGATAGCTTTGTTTGCAGCAAGCTTCATCACCGTAACGTCAAAAACACAGCGGTAGAATGCCATTTTTCTTGTTGGTGTGACAAGCTTTCCATCAGCTCCCTGCATAGTGAAAAAGTATGTCGAAATAAGTAATGAGAAGAAGTAATGAAAGAGCTTTTAACATTGAATATATCTGTTGGTTAAAAATGATGTAACTTGGAGCATTTTAGATGTTGGAATTCTCTTTTGAAGTCTGTGAGAAGTTGGAATCTAAATCACAAAAGCTGCTTCTATTGAAGACTTTTATAAGTTCTTCCATAAAACAGTCAACTGATAAATTCTGATGAAATTTGACTCTTTCACTAGAAGAAAAGTCAGCTGACTTCTAACAATTCTTATATTAAGCTAAGAAGTCATGCTTCCGACTGTAAAATATGTTTTGTGCTATACTCAAGTGCTGTAAAGGAAATTGTGCCTTTAAACAAAAGTACACACTCGAATGCATTAATATTTTATGTTTTAAGTGTGCTGTTTTAGTTAAATTCTGAAATTAAACTCTGTATTTTGTTCCATTGATGAAAATAATGCATTTACATACATGTGAAACTTGAACAGACAACTTATTTATTTGGCTTAGAAATGTTTTTTGTTTTTAAATATATATATATATATATATATATATATATATATATATATATATATATATATATATATATATTATATATATATATATATATATAATATATATATATATATATATATATATATATATATATATTATTTTATATATATATATATATATTTTTTATTTATTTTTATTTTATTTTTTACCAAATATCAAGCTGCCTGACAACACTTTAATGACTCCTGTACTTTGAGCATTCTGGGATTTTAGTTAAAAAATACAGTGATTTGGTTTTTCTGTACTGCAACTGGTTAACAATTAGCCTCTGATAACCGTAACTTCAGCATCTTGAAGGCCTTTCATCATTTTTGAATCAAATTGGTCTGCATTTGATCATCTCTTGATCAAAATCCCTAATACTTTGTGATTAAAACTGAACTGAAACAAAGATTCATTTTCATCATTTTGCCCATTTCTCATTTTCTGCAAATTCCAAGATTAACATAAAGATCACAGTTTGTGATTTTCAAACCTTTACTCTATTTGTAACCAACAAGGATGCATTTTAGTTATCTTAACAATATATTTAAAATCTTATCTGCCTGCAAATAGGGTGTATTTTATACCCCTAATTGCATGTAAATAAATGTGCAAAGCAACTTTTAATTCTAAAATGTTTTATATTTTTCTTGTTCAGGTTATTTTGTCCCTGTGCTTGGAGTTGTCTTCAGCCTACTCTGGGTCTTCTGCCTCGTTGTCTGTGTTTGGTGGACCCGTAAAAGAAAGAAAGAGCGAGAGAGAGCCGCCCTATCTGAAGACACCACCGTTAACAACCAGCTGGAGCCCCTGCAGAGCAATACCCCAAAGGTCAACCGAGACAAAGACATTCAGTATGAATGCAAGAAATTAATAGGTCCCTCAGATAGGATATGTGACGAGGCTAATGAGGAAGAGCAACAGCTGGAGGAAGACGAGGAAATGGTCTTGGGCTTGGGGGACAAGTGTTTGTCTCACAAGTGTCCCATAGTGGGAGCTCAGGACAGGAGCACCATGATAAAGGCAGAGGTGATGTGCACGTCATGCAGCGGTCCAGTAAAGGCACCACATCGGACAGCATACAGCCCCAAAGACAACCGATGTAAAAACCTGAATGCAGCCAAGTTTAGTGAGGACATTATAGACCTCTGTGTGTGAACAAATAACAAATTCAGCATCACAGACTTTAAAACTTTTGCACCACATATGAAGACTGCAGATGCATTCATTTTCTATTGAGTTTATAATGTGTTATTTAAGTCTTTTATTTGCAGTTGGAGGCTTTTTTAAATCATGAAAGAAACTTAAAAAGTGGCATGAAAAATCAAGTGCTTCAGGGATTATGGAGTCCACAAGCTTCTCTTTTTGATTCAAAATATTACAGGGAAGCTGAAGCTTTGTGTTTTTATCATTAAGGTGAACATTTATGACTGCTGTTTACCTTCAGCCCAAACCCTGACATCTAAAAAAAAGATTTACATTGTGTGCAAGTTGGCATATTGACCTGGCTGACTGATACATGGAATAGCTTTTTCTCTTTTTTTTTTGTTGAAGCTTGCAATTTCATGCATTTGCCCTTTTAAAATGAGAATTGTCTCCTGTACGCAGTGATCTTTCAGTATTTCCTTTTTTAATTAAAATGCCTTTAATTGCTAACTTCTCCCTTCTTTATAATAGAAGATTCTTAATACATATAAAGGGAAAGTGGCTATAATCACAAACGTCTGGCCTCTAATGCTTGTTTTATTGTGATGTACAGAAACCTTGTAAATAGGACAGAAATTACTGTGTATATTTGATTTTAGTAAGTTAAGAAATTATTTGTATTGCAGTAATTTTAAAGAATAAAGCTTCATGTATGTTTGGATTTTTATGTCATTCCGTTTTTTAATGGCAGATTTTATTTGAATCATTTTCAGATTTTGTAAATTCTCAAACCTAATTACTAGTACAGAATTGTTTAAAGAGTATTTGTTCCTCTAATTAAATGCTGCACTCAAAGAGTTACTTTGTTTTACCCTGTGAATGATTGGACAAGCTACTTTTCATATTTAGTTTTGAGCTATCAAAATGTGTTTTTCATCCCTTCCTGAATGCTTGTTTCCAAAAGTACATTTTGTTCTTTAAAAAAAACATTGAAGACATCGCATAGTTTGTTACTGTTCTATCACTGGTCCCAGTATTACTGTGTTATTGCTATGATTTTAACTCAAAAACCTGACCATGCCCGACATTAAAGAAAAATAGATGAATGTCCTTGGTCAAACTATGAATTTCCTCATTTCATCCTATGAGTCTAAGGTATTGTTTTGAACAGCATAACAACCTGTAGGCCTTCTGATTGAAACAGTTCACTATTCATGACAGACGTGTTGATCTTTAGCCAAATCCAGATAAAATCATGCATGATTTGATCCAGATCAAATCATGCATGATTGCAAATCATGCAACTTGCCTATCAATGGCATTCGCTTACCAGACATAATGATGCACAACTGACTATGCACAGATCAGACATTGTTGGTTTTGTGCATGTCTTCCAGTATGTTAAAATAGATGTAACAGGAAATGCATAATGGAAAAGGCTTCAATCCCTACAGCTAAGAAAAGTGGAGGCAGCATCATGATGTGGGGATAATGTGAAGTAGTGAGAAGAAAGTAAGTCAGTACTGATGAAAAGATAGATCAGCATATAAACTCGTATGGACTTTGGTTGCATTGTTCTGCTGCATGTTGTCTTTTTATATTATTGGACTGAAATTGACAAAAATGTTACATGTACCAGCAAAGGTTGGCTCTCGCATCCATCTGACACTTCATGGGTCACAGCTGGCAGTCTCTGTAGCCTCCTCATGTTCCAGGTTCAGATCTACAGTTTTACAGTCTGTTGACAGTGTAATCACTATAGAGTATAGGGTGCCTGATAGTGAAGTGGCCTTAAGAAACATCCTCATTGTAGACATCATAGTAGGAATTTGAAAGTTCCTTCTATTTCTTCTCATTTTGGTTCACTGTTATGATTTTCCGGTTTTATGAAGGGAACAAGTTGTATAATCGTTGATGTTCCCTCTTTTGAGTGTTTACGGGGTAATGTCAAATATTGTCAATATTTGTGTATGAAAATTGATTTTTTTAAAAGACAGTTTTGTTAATAATGGTGATGAAAGAGAACTTACACTCAATTTCTGACTGTAAAATGTACTATGTGTTAGCCCTGGAAGAGGAGCTGAATGTGCAGAATTTTTTTATGATTTTGTACAAAATTTTGGTTTGTTAGTTGACTTTTTTTCAGAAAAATACTATTATTTATTAAAGTATTTTATACAAAAAATGATTTTGTTGAGTTTTTATTGATGATTCATTATTTCTTCTTGTGGATGATGTTGCTGTGTATTGGATTCTTTGATACATGCAAATCTAAAAAACTTGTAGCACAATTAAAGCTTTTTTATTTTTTTCTTATTCTATTTAACCATTTTATTTTAGTCATAACATCTTTCTTTTAGCTATTGAAGAACTGAAGATGTAAAAGGCATTTTAACTCAAATCTTTTATTATTTTTACTATTTTTTAATCAAAAAAAGTTAGAATGTTAAATCGTATATGTCTGTGGCATTTGCTCAGCAGACAGAATCAGTTATTACAAAACTATATATATCAACCATGGCCAACATTAAGTCTCCAGAAATGTCCAAACAGCCCATTCCACTTTTGCCCGATCAGCTTTTTTTTTTTTTACTCCGAAGAGTTTTTAGTGGCACCAGTGTCTCGCATTTTTTGACAGTAGACTGACAGGATAGAGGGCAAGGAGAGGGGGCAAGACATGTGGCAAAGGTCACCGGGCCCGGGAGTCGAACCCGCAACGTCCATGTCAAGGACAGGCCTCCAAACGTGGGGAGCGCTACAGCACTCCCCCCGATCAGAGTTTTAAGACTCAATAAAAAGCATATGGTGTGCTGAGAAGGCGATAATGAAGATTGCTTTCAGTTGGCTTCACATTTATTGAGTAAGGAAAATCATTGTTTGTGATCTTGTCCAGTGTGACATTTACATATGCAACCATAAATCCCTTGTCTCCTTTAGTGCCAAGCCAATGAGGTGAGTTATTTGTGTGATTCATCTGCCCTTATAATGACACTGTGGGAAACAATTAACAATAGACAGCCCTGCATTAAAAGCCTCCAGCAGCTGTGATGGATGTCCTTAATGCTCGATGGGACATTATGTGCCATGCTGGGAGTTCATCAGCCCAACAGTTGTTTTGGGAAGAATGGGAAATGTGCTAGGAATCCTGGATGATGCAGTGTTTGGGTCACATGCACATACAGTGCACCACACTCACTGACCTACTTGGATAGAAGTACAATGAAGGTGTGCGAGTGGTGATGGAAAAGCGAGAGAGAGGAAGCCGTGATGGTATTAGGATCATGTGTCGCCCCACAATACAGTCTGTATACTGATCCAGAGATGCAGACCAAAATCTATTTAAGTCCATTTTGGGATTTTAAACCCAACTAGCACTTCCTGGTCTCAATATTTCTCTTCTGTATTTTACTAGTTTTGTCCTAAGAAGTTTATAGAGAAAATTAAATAAGTTCCAAATCATAATTCTACACGTTTTTTTTGTATTCAAGTTTAATTATTTTTAATCTGTAACCTATAGTACAAGTCCCACACTAAATGCAAAGGATCAATGGGAACATTTCACTGAATAAAGACAGAACTGAGATTATGGTGCCATTTTAATCTGAGCAGCAACAGATGCTACAGCGTTTGCGAAACAAATAAAAAAAAATCACACCCCCTAAAAACCTTTACACATCTGATCAAGTTTTTAAACACAAACTTGACTGTATTTTATTGAAAAAGGATCTGACAGCCTTTGCAGTTTTAGTGATTCACTCAGAAAGCCAGCTTTGCTAGTGAGTGAGAAAACAATCTCTGCTTCAGTGGTTCTGCTTCTCATTGCCATTATCATTGATGTTGATGAGCTTCAGCGGGGAATTACCAGCTGACCATGATCTGTAATGGAAGAACTTAAAAGACACACACACATATAATCCTATACACATATCTATGGATATGAGACATCAGCACTGGTCCCACCCCATGTATGTGTCAGAGATTCACAGATATTTTTGTCGTCGTGTTCAGTAAGTCTTGCCATTGTCAGTTTGTTTCCCAGTGTTCAGTATTAGAATGGTGTTGCCATAATTTTTCATTTCTTTCTGTTGAGTTTCTCAGTGTATTCTCATGTTGTATTTCTTTTACATTTTACATTTTCTTCCTATTTAACAAGGGCTTATTTTCAGTTCCCTTTGTTTCCCTGGTTTCTCCCAGCCACAACTGAACCACATTTGCTCTGAATAGCTTATCTGATTCCATTTTCAACACCTCCCTCTGTATTAATGGTTCTTATTTTTCAATGGTCTTTTCTGGATTCTTCCATGTCTGTGCCTGCACATCTCTGCATTTCACCTGTAAATACAGAGTATTTTATGAGCGCTGCTCTGGAACAGAACTGCAGCGCTCCTTCAGTGACAGACTTTGCAAAGGCACCTTGGCACAATCTCAGGTATAAAGGTCCAACTATGACTGTGCATAATTTTAGGTGCATAAAGAAGTGTTATCATAGGTCCTTCCTCTCAGCAGTTGTGGGAATTTATAACCAACACTGCTCCCAACAAACTCCCCACACATCCCTGCTGTTATTTGCAGTTTTGCAAAGTTTTTTCATAATTTTGTGAGTAGCCTGTTTGTATTAGCACCAACATTGTGTGCTTTTTGTGTTTACTTTTTAACTATAAGCTTTAATAGAAACAGAAACTCAAGATGATTTTCCTACTTAGTGCACATTCCTTTGAAGCTGCATGTGCTGTTTTCATTAACTACAGATTTTTCCTGTTTTAAACTAGATTTTGCTTACAGTCTTGTGTTCTTATTTTGTTATTATATTTTATCTTTGCATGAAATTGCATGCTCTCGTTTGCTTTTTGCTTTGATGCTAGCACACGTAAATTTTTCTACTGTGATACAAAAAAGGGCATTTCTATTCTACTCCAATATATATTTACTCTTGAACCATGTGAAAAGATCACAACCTCTCTGAAAGAAAACTTTATTCAGTTCAGAACACATGGGCTGATGAACATCCTGCTCACTTTTCAGTCGCAGGTGCGGTGAAAAATATTCTTCTATAAATTAAGCAGCATATTTGAGTTTATGTATGATGGTGAGGTATATGATTAAGTCAAATTTATTTGTCGAGCATATTTTAACAATAAGGCAGTTCACAGTTTCTTACATCATAAAAACATCACAAAGTCACCAACTGTGAAGCAAACAATGAACATCACATTTTGTCAAACGCCATCATCAGAATCATCAAATCATACCACAAATTACATCAATCTTCTGGGAAAGCATTTACTCAGCACCATTCCAAGATATTTCATTTATCAAGTTCCTTGTTGCCAAGATGGATAATTGCTTTATAATGCATGCTTAAAATTAGCTATATGGAGTAATGAGTAATGATTACACCATTATTGAGCCTTGGATAATTTATATCACCAACACTGGTCATCTCTTGAGTGATACAATGCAAGCCTTGTTTTATGTTTAACTAACTGTATCTCCTGAGAGGACTGACTGGCCATAGTGATTATTTTCAGTAACAGCTGATTGGCCAGGCTTTGAATTGGTTCGGTGAAATGTATTGTGCACTGGTGTGCTTTGAAATCCCATAGCATCTGATGTTAAAACACATTGAGATTAAAGAATATATAGTTCCCACAAGTGATCATCTTGGTAGGCAAGTGAAGCATAAACTGTGGATGAATCATGGCTTTGACACCAACAAAAAAAAGTATATTGTCCCTCTTGACGAATATCTAAGAGAGATCTAGATCAACAAAATCGCTGTTGCCGGCATCAACCCATATGAGACACATAATGAAAACATGCCAGACATCGTGGACATGCTACCTCCACTCTCGTATTGTGACATAGTTCTAGTGAATACGGAGTACTCCATGGAGGAACTTCAAGGCCTGAATTCCATCAGATTGTCAATGGCTTTGGAAAGTTGGTCTGAGTTATTCATGAGAATAACGAGGTTGTGGTGACTGGCAGAGTAAGTTCACGTAACATACAGACTACATGAGTCAGTTATCAAATCTGGACTTAAAATATGCTGGCGGACAGCAAAGGAAGGTCCATTGTATCACTACTGATCCCATCTGACCACCTTCCATCCCCTCTGATTGTCTGTAGGCACACTCAGACCCATCATGTCTGATTGAGATTATTTATTTATTTATTCATTATTGAGGTTAACACTACAATTTTATGTTCTCAAAACAATGACAAATTAAAGCACAAGCTTTAATTAAAGAGGAAAAATTTAAGTAGCAAGTGTTCATTTGGGCTCATGGTGATCACAGAAGCCTGAGTACTTGACTGAGTTGTGCTCATTAAGCCTCTATCTCAGTCCTATTGTAGAAGCTGTCAGCCTCTTTAGAGGTTAACAAAGGTCGTTTATTTTCAAGTTGGTGCAAGTCAGATGATGCACATGAAATTTTGGAGCCAACAATATGTCAACAATGGTGAGGGATAGACCTTTGCTGCTAAGCACTGTAGTAAGATTTCTTAACTTAACATGTCCTTTTGGAGACTTAATATGTTCAAAAACTCACCAAACGTCACCAAAATTTGTCCCCTGTGTGAAATGTTTGGATTCCAATGGAATCAAAAGTGGTCATGGTCAAAATGCTCTTGGGTGTCCCCCTACATTAATACATTAATGTAGTATTTCATTAATGTACACTTAGGTATATATTTCATGCATCTGTTTTTAACTGAAGCAGATTTAATCATAGGTAAATTACTGATAAAGTGATTTATTGCTAAAGAGTGTGGTTCTAAAGACAACAGCCTCTGTCATTTACTCATAATCACAAGAACCAGATTTGAAACTCCATATTTCTGCATTTGAACTGTAACTCTTTTGTTTTTCTACTTTTCCTAAATACTGTTGTATTGTTGTTGTTGGGGGGTGGGCTATTATGTTTTTTATTCTAATTATGAAGCATTTTGTGATTTTTATTTGTGAAAAGGGATTCACAAATACAATTTACTTACTTAACAAACTTTAACAGCAGACATTTGCTGGGATAATTCTCACCAGAAATCTGACAGAGTAGTTGTTGACATTCCAATACAATGTAAAGAGTATCCTCATACTTTCCTCACCCATAGTCAAGGGTGAGGAAAGAAAGGCACAGAGTGCTCAACACAGTGACCACACCTCAGCCAGCC